CTTTTATCCCCTCCTCTTATTTTCTCTCATGGTTCCCTTCCACCCTTTTTAATCCCTCCCATCCACCACTGCTCTCCTTGTGGCATCCCATCATGGTCGTTCCGCTGATACCTCTAGGGGTTCCCAACTTACTCCCCATCCTGTTCTCAGAAACTATCAACATTATAGGAAAAATTTCCCAGACAAACCCTCATAAAATTTTTCTGAGCAGTGGAATGAATGAAGTGTGAAGTCTGAATGGGTGTCCCCTAAGTTCTCCTTCCTACTGTAGTATTCCCTACCTCTCTCCAACATCTGACTGCACAAAGGACAACAGGTTGTTTCCACCTGGGAGGTGCAGTGGCCACATCATGCGTAGCAGGTACACACCCTAGCATGTTTGCTCTCCAGGCAGTATATTTGGCTTTGTAATCACAAGGTCCCTGTAAGATAAGGCCCCGCTCTCTCTATGCATGGCTGTGATTTTGTGTGGTCTACTAGATGTGAAGAAAGATTAACATCATTTCTGAACCAAAAACTCGATCAAGCAATTTTCCCGGACTTTCTGCCATGCAGTCTCTCAAGTGGAAAGATAAGAACATGTCCAAGCCTCCTGGAGCCTGGTTTGGTTGTGACACAAGTACTTCTTTTCTAGACAAAGGATCAGCTGGGGTCCTGGGGAAAAAACCTAATGAGTTCTGATATCTAGACAAGTTTCTGACTAAAGAAGGCCAAGCCCTTTGTGGGTGACAAACCATCACTCTTATTCCTGTTTCCCCAGTTTCTGGCACAGTTAGAAGACCCAACCATACTCTGATAATTGGCACTCACCTTGGTGATCTCACGTTCGTGTCCGACGAACCGCCTGAGAACAGCTCCGGATCTCCAGTTACACACGACCACGGTCTGCGGAGAGAGGCAGTGAGAGGAATCAGCAGCAGGAGAATGGGCCAAAGAAGTTCTTCAAACCTTTGCTAAGAGGCAGTTTGGAGCTGCTGACAAAGAGCACTTGGTAGCGACATGCTCTATCAAATTAGTAGGAAACATATCCTGAACTATTCAAAATGCAAGTATTTTTTTCCTTGATAAGTGGATTTTCTAAAGCAAAAAGACACCACGCCCCATTTCTCTAAGGGTAGATTTACTCTTGGGAGCTGTATTGATAATACAGTAACACCACATTAGTGCTGAAAAGAGCATTTAGGCTGTTCAATAAATGCTGATTATTCATTTATAAACACCCTCGGTTTATGTTACACTGAGCCCCCACATACAGTCCATGCCTGAAGAGGGAACAGATTCTTTTGGTTTTCCGACCCCACAGCAAATCCTGCTTCTCTTTATTTTTCTTGCCTTTGACTGCATTTTGGTCACTGTGGTGGACGTGCACCTCACCTTATCCTTTCCTCCGGACACGCAGAGGTCTGGTCTGAGAGCAGCCACAGACGTGACGGCACCGGCGTGTGCAGGGCTGTGCTGTGGAACAGCTCTAACGGGTCCTGTCTTCTCTGCAGAGCCATCAGTCCTGCAGCAAGGAGAGAGACAGCAGCAGGAACTGCAAGTCAGGGAGACCTTCCCCTGATGTCCCCCTGTTTAGTCTGATGTTGAGAAGACAACAGTGTTGGTGAACTAGAGAACAGAGACATCTGATTTTGGAACGTCAAAGGTAAGCTACGCATAGACAAATGTGTCTTCTGGACCCAATAAGGTAGAGGAAGATTCTGCCTCTTGAGCTGCTAAATATTTAGGTGTTTACTCCTAACCAGGAGTGTTTAGGTGCTCACTCCACGCCAGAGCAAAGAACAACAACAAAAAAAAATTCTTACTAGTCTCCTGGGATGGCTTACATCAACAGCATTCAAGCCTGGCTACTGACCTGGTACAGCAACTTTGCACTTCGAAACCAGCAAACATCCCTGTGGATGTGTCAGTATTCCCCTTGTATTTGCTGTGCTCTGCCTGCCTCCTCCTGTCAGCTGGACCCTTTTTTCCTCGCAGCTAATGCCTGTACAGTTGTGCCACAGCAAAATTACCAACACTCAGCCTACCCCACTGGGATGCAAGCGTGTGTTCTCCCACTCAGTAGCTCACACCAGTATTCCACAGCGCTCAGGACAGAGGGAAATTTGTTCTGGCTAAGGTGCCATTTTCACAGAAAACAGTAAACTAAGATCTGTGTTTCCTGCTGCCCTTGCTGATAAAGGTTATGACACTCTCAGGAGGATGGGTTGGATGTTTTGGCCAAACAGCCACCTCTAGCATTTTTAGGGTGCAGATTGCTTATTCAGAGTAAGATTGCTTATTCAGAGTAATCTCAGAGCTCACACTTACAACTCGGCTGCTCCTGGATTTCAGTCCTCAGATACTCACTACATTCCCTGTTGCTGTACTCTCTATTCATTATGTTTTCTATTCTCCCCTATAGTTGGGTTTATTAAGACTTTTACCTGTATTTGGAGGCGTGGAGGTGGGTTTTGCTCTGCAGTTTCCCCATAGCGCTGCCAAGGCGCACGGCTCCAACTCCAGCGAGCTGCACTGGGCATCACAGCGCCAGCAGCTCAGGCACTCACTGCTGTGACACGACCTCGGGTTGGGAGCCGCAACGTTACCAGGAACCTGGAGAAACTTCCGACTATTATGCATGCGGGAAAAATTGCTGGTATCACAACATCAACTTTTAAACCCCATTTAGGATGAGAGAACAAGAAATCAGAGGAGGGAACACCTGGAAGTGTCTAGGCAAAACTCTGCTTAGAGCAAGACCAGCTTCAAAACCGAGCTTACTGAGCCTTCTGTCTCTACGCTGGCCAGCTCCATGGGACTTTGACAGATCTAAAACACATTAGATTCCTAAGTGTTTCATGGAGATGGGCAAGCGAGTCAAGACAAGAGATCCCCAAGCTGAGAACCCATGGACACAAGGCTGGGGGATATCTCTGACCATTATATATCCCTGGTCTTGTGTTCCATGGTCTCTTTACAGATCCCAGTTTCAAGACTGGCTGAGGCAAACAGCTTCAGACTTGGGTTTGTACTTCCAGCTGAGGTGCTAGCACTTTAGACCAAGATAACGTCAATCACACGCAGCCTGAACTCAACTTACGCAGCCGGACTTGAGGTAAAGTCTCAGCTGGTCTTAGCTTAGGGCAAGCGATGCTTCGAAACAGCAGCTTTCACGTCCATACTCCAGCCTCATCTCCCTAAATCTCCTAGCAGATGCATCGAGTCTCCTACCCACCGAGGCGGGTCACAGGCTGGGCAGAAAGCAGGGAGAGAAGAAAGCAAAGAGCTGTCCTCACATTCCCACCTTTCTGGGAAACCCACGTGAAACCGACCCTGGCTCAGGAGGGAGGCCCGTTGCGGCAGCAGGCAAAGGAGGGCCACGGCCAACAAGCCAGTTTCAATGACAGAGAATTGCCGTGTACAGTAATTGGATTCATCTTAGCTCGAGACACACTAATTGGATTGACTTCAGTCTGCACTGAGTGTACTAGCATGCCCATCTTCTGGACACGGAGGGTTTTTTGCTAATAAAAACAGGGAAAACAAAAATCAAGCTGCTGCTTCTAGCAAAGGAGGGGAAAACATTTCAAGGCCCTGCTCACAGCAACTAGGAACCAAACACTGGAAACAAGAAGTGAGAGACACCAGTTTTCCCCCAAACATTCCCTTTCTAATTTTACCTGGAACGCCTTTGGGATTAGCGATCAGCAATACCTGGCTAATCTCTGCCTGCTCAATCCATGAATCTGCATGTTCGGGAGAAAGAGAGGAAAATACATCTACGGTTCAGGGGCAGCACTAATGTGGCAAATCTCCTCTTCCAGTCACACTGGGACCGAGCCTGCAAACTGTTTCAGCGCATTAGGAACAAACTGGATTTTTTTCCCTGACAACAGAAGAACATGGGAAGTTTTGTTCACCTGCAAGAGAAAAATTGACGGAAAAGCTACGACAAGGGCTGCAATTTCCCTAGGAACAGAGCCTGGCCTTGGTGCGGCAGAACCGATCGCTCGTGGCTCTGCGATGGTCCCAGCACTGTCGGGCCCAGCAGGTTTGTGCAAAATCAGGGGTGCAGTGACCGCTGTCACCCCAGGCTTTCCAACGCATAAGGACCAGCATTGCCCACGATTCCCTGGCAGCAGAACGAAGCCCTTCTGTGCAGCAAAGGACAGAAATTCCACCTGTTTGAGGAAAACCTGCTTTTTTAATCTCTGCAGGGCCGCGGCAGCTGCCCCAGGTACCCAGGCTCCCTCGGGATGCTCCGTAGTGCTCAGCACCAAAACCAACAACAGAGCGTCCTGGAAATGGGGCAGGAGGGGACGGGGCCGCCTTGGGTGGCACCACGGGCTCATCCCAGAGAGCTAGAACGGGGCACAGCCCCGGTCCCTATGGCCGGGGAGCCCCGTGGGGACAATCCAGCTGCAGCCCAGTGCTAAG